CCCAAGTATTGTGCCGACTTACTTATCCCATATCGAAAGAGTCAGCACTTAATTTTATGGGGAATTAATAAGAAACCTTTAACAATAAAAACTAAGTAAAAGACCTGATCCATCATAGCTAGAAAATTTCAGGTTCTGGAGCTAAGGTACAAAAGAGGAAGGTCATGGAATGATGCACCCTCTTTTGCCCAATCCTAAGATTGACCTCTATTAATATTCTATTTTATGATTTTAATGATTAATTATTTCAAATTAGTCCATTTTAGGCCGAAAACCTTTAATACCCTATTACTATTTGATTGGAATAAATAAATAAAATTTATTTTAGATTAAACAAATAAACCCATGTTTTTCCAAAGATGGTGATTTTCTAACAAAAAGTGGATATTGCTGATCCATGGCCATAAACTTAGACTAAATAAACAATATTCATAAAAATCATGCAAAACAAACAATTTTGCAAGAAAAGCATAGAAACTTGGATCATTCAAAAACAATGCAACTAAGAAAGCACACATGCTATGAAGGATGAAAGACTTACCCAGATGCCCACTCAAGCGCCTTATATGAAAAACATAAAATAAACATGGCCCTAATATGCAACTAAACATACAAAATATGAAAGTAAACCCGGTTTGAGGCTATTAACATGGCTTATGCACAAAATACAACACATAGCAAATAAAAGGAAAAATATATAAAATAATACATGATGGTTCAAACTGGACTTGTGTATGCTTACTACATGATTACACTAACTGTAACATGTTTTTTAATGAGAAATAAACAAAGCAAGCAAAAATAAGCGAAAAACGTATGGAACTAACACCCTACCAGATGAGTTGATGAACTAAGTGTAGACACCCCATTTTTGACAGCCCATAAGACTTGGGCGTTACTGATGGTTTACTTGGTAGAGAAAGGTGTGCAGGGCAAAGGTTCAGTTTCTTCGACAAGAAGAGAGACAAATCCCAACTTCACACCCCATTTTAGACCAAAGCTATTTTGAATGATTTTTAGACCTTAAAACCCTCTCTTTCGAAACATTTTTGAAATAAAATTTCTACGATGTTCCGAGGCTCACATTTTGTCAAAAAATGCGCTTTTCGATAAACCGAGCAAGGACAAGGTGGAAATGAATGAAAGAGAGATGAAATCTTTGAAAAATCTTTCAAAACACCTTGCTTAGGGGTTTGAAGTTGAAGAAAAGAGGAGAAGAGGGGAGAAGCCAAGTTGGAGAAGAAAATAGGCAAGAATCGCTAGGAGAGGGACGGGCAGTCCTCGCTAAATCAAGCTTATCAGTCTATACACTTGGAGTTAATCTATGAGGCCACCACCGTTGGAAAGAAGACTTCCGGGGCTTCATTTTTCATTCAAGAATCTCTTAAATCCGAGTCTGGAGGGCGGAGATATGATTGGTTGAAGTTGGGCATCATCCCGGTTGGACCGAAACTGAGCAGCCTTCACCAAAACAAGCATAACTTTTTGTACAGTTGGAATTTTGATGCAAGGATGGTTCCATTGGAAAGCTTACTTCCGGAGCTTCAGTTTGGACACAAGATTGACCTAAAAAGGAGTTCATATGAAGAAGTTATGCCCGTTTGAAGTTGGACCT